TACAAAGGTTTTACAAAAAACAGAAATATCTTGGACAAAAGCACAGAACGATCAACCGAAGATGGCTGTACCAGGGAAAGGCAAGAAGAAAAGCCACGGTACTCTGCACAGGATTCGTAGCAATCGGAGCAACAGCTGTGCTAGTAGTAAATGCCCTGGTCGCGGCAACCGAACAAATCACCACAACATCGCCAGTAAAGTAACAATAAGAAGAAGAAGCAGACTAATTCTCACAACAACACAACAAAAGGTGGTTGGCCGCCTGCGGTGAAGGTGTCGCCAAGTGCTCGAGAGGCAGTGAAGCCTCGATCTCGGAAGCGTCCTGCCAAGCAGGGTCAGGTAAACCTTGCAGTTGAGAGTTGAGGGCTTGAGGGTTTTTGATGGCTTTGTTTTGGGCTTTAGGGATTTTTGTTTCGTGTTTTAGGGGTTTCGGCGCTCACGCTCGGACAATCCAGGCGAGGCATATGGTTCGAGGTCTGCTGTGGGAAAACCGAACTCTACGGGATGAGACCGCAACACTCGGAGTTCCATATGGGAGTTTCCGAAAATAGGGGACCCTAATACAGTACCCCGAATAGTAGGATGCTTATTGTAAGGAGCCCAAAATACTTACAGTACCCCCCAATTTTTCGGAAGCTCCCATATCCTTACATGAAAACGACGATTCGGCTACCCGGCCTGCCCCACTTGAGCTCCCGCAAGACTCAAGCACTACCGACTGCAGATCGCGGTTACGGGGGTGTCGGGTAGGATTATGCAATAATTACTCATGTTGGGGCGTTTAGGGTACTCAGCATTTGCGGGCATCCGGATCAATGTCTAGAGAGTCTGCATAGACCGACCACAGATGGGAATAATTGAAACCTTGTCTGGACTTGGACTGTTAAAGGTTTTCGGGCCTTTTGCAGAGACGAGCTGCTGGTCTTGTTGCCCCCGTCGGAGGCGGTGAGGGCTCTGGGTTCAAGATGGGCCGGGAGAAGTGCTTCATAGGAGTCAAGGGTTTCCGCGGTTAGGGTGGAGCTACATTCAGCCAGAGGCTCGCTCTATCTAACCGCTAAAGCCTAGATCCCATTCAAGCTGTGGCTTTTCGATTTTTTCTATCTCTCTGAGGCTCCAACCCCTAAGCGCAGGCTGTATCTGCGGCCCCGCAAAACCTTAACATCTATTCCTATTCCCGGGGCCCAGAGAAACCTTCAGCAAAGCCACCAGGCCACTGAGTCAAAAACACAAAGCCTTTTTCTTTCAACTCGGGCTCGCTCTCGCTTGCTCTCCCTATCTCTCTCTCTCTCTCTCTCTGTATATATACCTGTGTATATATCCATATATAAATATAAATATAGATATAAATATATATATATATATATAGAAAAATGTGTATCTGTCTCTCTCTCTCCCTATGGTGCATGGTCGTGACACTGCCCTGCTCTCTCCTCGATGGTTGTAACCTCCGCAGATCCCGCCGCCTCAGATGCTTTGCGTGAGAACGTCTCGGAGTAGGTGTGCCAAAGGTTAGTCTCAGGCACAGGTCATAGAGTTGGCGAGTGTGTCCGTTACTGGTAAACGGGAGGCAGGAGCGTGCATTTGCCGTTTCGGGTCTGCACTGGAATCAACCGCCAAATAGTGCCCTTCGTCCACATGCACATTCTACCATGCTCACAGAATGGTCGACAAGGGCCGCGACACAAAACACTAGTCCAAAGTCCAAGCTAGTATCTCATGCTCATGTTTCAGTAGCAGATTTGTGAAGCACTCGCAAACACAACAGAGCGGCCTCCTCCGTGGGAACTTCCGACACGACGTGGTCTTTCCAAGCAGCAGCAGGAGGAGGAACCTGTGAGAAGGATTCACAGGTTTGGGGTTGACGTGCTTGGAGTTAACTTGGGTTGTGTTGGGGCTCCCACGCAAGCATCGCATGCATCTTGTAATCAACATAATCAATACCAGTCCTGACTGCAGACGCTTGCTCTTGCGACATGCCCAATCGCACATGTCGAGGCCCACATCCTTGCACGCACGCTTGTAAACCCTAATACCGTAAACCCTAAGCCTCACAACTGTGACAGAAATCTCAGGCACTTGTGCTCCAGAGTCTCCAATAGCAGTACTACCTGTCAGTATCACATACGTCTCATGCTCATCACCATAAGGCCTGAACCTACTCGAGGAATCTTAGGATAGGGACATGGCCAAGATTTCCTTGTAATTGCATAGGCCCGAGCGAAAAATTGAAGCGCCAAAATTTATGCGTCCATTAGGATTTTAGCAGTGAAGCATGCTTTAGGTCTTCATGTTTTCTTGACTCTCTGGAGCTCCCATGCTGAGATCCGACGTGCATGCTGGGATGCCCGAAACAAGAACCGAGCACCCTGCCCGAGCAGGGTACCAGCAAGTTCACAATTTCAAGGCTCACTTCTTCAGATGTCAACTCTCCGAAGTACTCATGGAGTTTCCAAAGCTTGGAATTTCGAGCCCTGAACCCTAATTCCGAAGCCCGAAGCTTCAACCAAAGATCCTAGAGTTGATACCTTCAAACTTCAAAGCCAACAACCCTTTTTTTGCAGCAGGCCTCGTTGTCCAGCAGCCCGATTACAACACCCTAAACCCTAAACCTCTGAACCCTTAACCCGAAATTTCCCAAACAAAGAACCCCAAAACCCTCAACCCGGAAGTCTTGCACACTCTCTACCAGTACAGGGTAGAAACTGTCATGGAGCCCACACGCTAAATCCTAGTCCTGAACCCGAAGTCCTAACTCCTCTATCTTCAACTCAGGCTTTCACAAATACGAGTATGATATCCTACTCTATGACAGGTGTCAGAGACCGGAGGGTGTCCGGGCAGTTTTGGCAGCCCTGCAAAGGAGCAGGGCGAGAAATACCTTGACTGAAAAGGGATGCTGGTATCAGATACAGCAGCCTCGCGAATGTCCGACTCTACCCGCAGCCCTAAACAGCGAAACTAAACAAACTTTCTTAAACCCAAAAACCCTGAATCCTTAAACGCTCATTATGAACCTGAGCCCTTAACCTTTGAACTTCAAACCCTCGAACCCTAAACCTGTAAAACCTTAAGACCAGACCTTCGAACCTAAAATCCAAAGCCCTCGGAACTCATCCGTGGCGCCTCCGGGTGCGAGGGCAGCTGCGCTTTGCTCCCCTGGCAGCCCATGGCTCTGCTTGCTGTCGCGCTGAGATGTGCTTTGAGCCTCAAAAGGGCTCTACTTGGATCATGGGCAGGTATAAGTAGGGTTACAAGTAGGGTAACTATACTTATACCCCATATTAGGGGACTTATAAGCCCACATACTACCCATGAACTTCCAAGTGGGGCTCAGCGATGTCACAGGCGGTTACCGGAGGTCCGCCACAACTATGCGAATGCACATTGTCGGCCTCTATAAGGCCTCCCACTCTACGGACACGCATGTCTTAAATGCTCAATGCTTTTTCGAGACCTTGCTCGCTTCAAGCGACGAGGGGCTTTGCCGCGAAAGTACATGGGAGCTTCAATGAAGCAGGGACCCTGATAAATCGTCGGGCACTGGTTTCATGCATCTGGTTTTGGGAGCCCTAGAGAAACTCCCACGTGCTGCCAGGTTCCATCACATTAGATGGCTTAACAGCTTAACATTTACTCTCTGCCACCCGTCTGCCCGAGCCTCTACCAGAACAGTTGATGTTTGTGCACGGAGGCGTGACGGAGAAGACAGTGCATCCTCAACAGATTGGTGGTAAACCCACCCATGGTTAGAGAGGCTTCTCATCAGTCCGAGACCATGTGCAGAGACGGGTCGCAGGCAGTCTGACAGCCTGTAAGTAAGGTGAAGACAGAAAAGAAACCGCAGGAGCGGCATGGTACACCACACCCCCGACGGGCATTGCCAACCGTGCGAGAGCACGTAGAGGAAGCTGACAGAAAGCTTACATGGGCTGTGTACGTGAACACCAATCCAACTACAAGTATCATCAGGTCGACTTAACAGTACCGACTGCAACAATGGAATATTCGCAAAGAACTCGACACAATCAAATTCACTCATCGACAGTGGCATCATTACCGTGGAAATTGCTGCCACCGCCATTCATATCGTCTTCATCGCCATCATCAAAGGGATGATTAGCACCAGAGCCAATTCGACCAGCGCTGACATTGCCGCTGCTACCGTACTACTACGGCGATTGCTACTTTTGATACCGCTGCTCCTACGGCTACTGCTGCTGCCGCTCCTGCTGCTACTGCTGCTGCTACGACTGCCCTACCACGACCAAGCCCGCACCACGACCACGACTATCAGCACAAGCAGCAGCACAACCACCACCACGACCACCACTATGACCACCATCACCTCAACAACAGCACCGACAATACATATCCCCGTGTTTATGTACATCTATATGTACATATACGTGTATACATACATACATACATACATACATACATACATACATACATACACACACACACATGTACGCACAAACCTACATGTGGCGCATCGACAGAATGGGCTCCATGCCATAGCCATTCCATGTTACATCAGTCAGTGCCTCTGAAATGTTCATTTTGGAAGGTCAATCTTCCCGCGAGGGTGGTCGAAACTCAAGTGGCGGGGCTTCCCATGAGGCCCCTCGCACCGAAGAAAGGGGTCGTAATAGCTAGAATAGGTTGTTTTTTTTTGGGGGGGGGGTGGGGGTATATGATACCATAGCTATAATAATAAGGAACCACCAAAATCACCAAAATCGTATTAGTAATTACCTATACTAATTCAAACGACACCGCCGCACACGGCTGCAGAGTCCTGGAATCTGCTCTCCCTCGTTAGTGCCGCAGCTGAGTTGATGCAGTCTACACCATACTTCTCAACATCGCTGGATACCCTTATTGATCTTTTTAAAGAACCCTTATAGTACTGGTACCTTTATAAGGAACCCGCCAAATGAGCTCAGAGTCTCTTCTTTGAGGCTACTCCTACAAAATGCAAGTCTCAGCCAAACACGGACTTAGCCGGCTCCGGCACAGCAGATGAACAAGCCGCGGCATTTGCCATCCTCGCCTTGCAACCTCGAAGGTTTGGGTGTTTCTGGGTTTTAGAGGTTCAGGGTTTGGGGGTTTAGGGTTTAGCCACCACGCCTGCGACCTCCCGAGCCTGTGTGGATCGCTTTCTTTTTGTAGTGTTTGCTGGCTTTTCAAAGACAAAGTTTCGGGAGTAGGGGTTAGGGTTGAATATTCGGGGCTTGAGGATTTGGGCAGCTTAGGGCAGGGTTCGGGAGCATGGACCCCTGCATCCTGAACCCCGATTGCAGACCCCAAGCTCCAAAGACGTAGGCTTTTTGCGACTTGAAAGTGTCATTCCTGAGCCTCAGAACCCGAAGCCCATGCTGATTCTGCGGCTTAAGAATACCGACAAAAAAGTATCTCACAATGAAAACAAGGGCCGGTAGAAGAAAAGAAACGCGACCCCAAGAACAAGTCCCAAGCCTGAACACTTGCCCTGGGCGTAACCAACCAGCGAGAAAGAACTAGAACTTTTGGTTCCACAATGGTTCCTACAGAACGGTAATTAAAGTAAGGTACTCCAGAACCTAGTACGTCACCGAGCTACGAGATGTTATCAGGCCGGATAGAGTACGACGTGGGAGCTATGAAGTCATTCGTCTCGGAGGCAGGGTCTGCCAGCAACTCGTGTCTGACCTGAAGCTCAGGGAGCTTTGGATTTGGGAGTTTCAGCAAGTTAGGGGTACAAGTACCTTACTTTGGTCTCCTTAAGATAAGGATCCTACTATTTTGGGTGCTCTACTAGGGTCCCCTGTCTTCGGAAATCCAGTTTACAGGCTTGTTTTTGGCTGGTAGTGGTCTAGGGTGCAGGCCTGTGCATTTATGAAGTTTATGGGGCTGGCAGGGCTTCTACCTCAACAGAAGCCCTTAGGTTGGCTAGAAGCGATGCTTCGGCAGATCTTCCAAAGCCTGAGTGAATGCAGAAAGCTATCCGAGCAGTTGGCTCGTCGACTGCAATTGTGCTGGGTTTTAGGTTAACCATGGAACCCCGGCCCTAAGCCGACACCTGACACCCTGCGCCCCAAACTTGTGTCAACTACAGCGACTTCAAGGCCACAAGCAATCGTACCCGAACACACGGAGCTCAAACACACACTTTGTTCGCAAGATAAAGGTCTCAACACCAAGCCTTAGACCCTTCAATCGCGTGTCCCAGCATAGTGATCTCCCCAAGCACGAACGCATGACATGCAATCCAGACTTGGTTGCAATCTGCACTCACTCTGCGACCAAAAACGGAAAGGATGGAGTCCTGTTTGCTTTGTATTATCGGGGCTTTTTTCTGAGGGCGGGGTGGGGAGCAGCATGCTCTTGTAGAGCTGATGAAAAGCTGCTCTGACTGCACAACTCTCCCGTCCAAAGTACATCGCAAGTTTGGATCCCTGAACCCTGAAACCTAAACCCCGAAATCTTGGCCTTAGCCTTGAAGAATGAAACCCGAAGTCCCACGCCCTGCTGCCAGGGGAGCCTTAGTGGCCTCATCAGGTGGAGTGATCTTGATGATGGGAGGAGCCTCTTGAAGCTTCCATGAAAACATGAGATTTGGGTTTAGGGCTAGGGTGCAGAGCTCAAATCCGGGTCTCTCTCTCTGTAATCTATCCCTCTGCCATGCCGTCCTTTGCCACTCTGGGGAAGCGATACTCTTGCAAAAAGTTTGCCGGGTGCGCATCTCAGATTGCCAACGGCATGACGTCTGAATTGCAATATCGCAGGGCGAGGCGTTTAACCGTGCAATATACACATACACCACCTACACACATGAAGATATATACCTTAATATCAGAAGATACTCGTCGAAAGACATCCTACGCAAACGTGTGCACAAGTGTACACCTGTCACTGAAAGTGAAAGGGGCCTCCAGCTGCGTCTCAGGCTCCCCTTCGGAGTCTGTCTGTCTCTCCTTCTCCGTCCCGGCGTCCTTGAGCAATGACTTGCTCGGGTTCTGGGCTATGGATAAGACTGTGCGTATGCACATATAATATATATATATATATATATATATATATATATATACACATAAAGGGAATAATATTCTGGGCACTACTGGGCATCGTAGAATTAGTGGGGTCATGGGGTCTTAGGGGCCTGGTTGAGCCTACAAGTTTGTGATTGCTGCATCGAGGTGGGAACGATGCAGAGGGAGCATTTTCAGGCCTACATAAGTTTCCGCGCCTGTTCTGACGCCTGCTGCTTCAGGTCCTCAGCCCGGAGGGCCTATCTGTGAAAGGGGTTATACTTTAAAAGAATCAGCCTACCTTTCCTGTGGATCAGTCGCGTAATTGGACTTTCATGTACCGATTTCCTCTCGCCAATCAATCCACAATGGACGGGCGTGCTCGAAAGCAAACGCAACACATTCGGAGAGACTTAGACCCACCTCTCTCTCTCTTTCTCTCTCTCGCGGACTCAGGGGTCTGTCAGCCTACCCACCTATCCAAAGAGAATGTTTCCCGATAGCGTGAAGGGCTCAAGGATTTGATTAGAAGCAGTGGCTGAAGATTGAAGCTCAACAAGAGAACGTGCTGACTCACTTCGCCGTTAGCATTCATGGCAGATCTTGTTCAACAAAAACAACGGAGGAGCGCATGCACAAAAAGGCCACAAATCTTGCGGATTTTCCCTGTGTATATGTCGCATATGCGTAGCTGGAATATATAAGTCTTCTGTGCAAAAGACTCATGCACTGCTCAGCTGAAAGTCCTGACCACTGGGACTCTTCGGCGGCGCGGGGGCTGCCTGGCCATTGCTACTAGCGCAGCCCATGCGTAAGTTGGCCCTTCAGCAAGGGGCACTCGTAGGATGCACTTGGAGAGCCGAAAGGACCACGCATGCAATAACTTGCACAAGCAACTTGGCATTATTGCATAGTGACTACAGACCGGTCGGATGGTATACTATATACTGATCATAACACTGGTACTAGCAGGTAGACTCGGACGCATGTTGCCGATCGGCCTGATATCCTGTTAACATTTTGGTAGTTCCTCAAGATTCGAGCATGTTTCGTCCTTGATGCAAGAGCTACGTAGTCTTCCGGCAACTGAAAGGGGACCCGGATCTATCTCAGCGCGCAACTGTTGCGAAGGATTAGGTTGCCGTCCGCACGAGGTGCGCACAGCGGTTCCGCGCATCAGGGCTCTGGGCTTCGACCCTCAGGCAAGGCAACGGATAAGGGCTTTGGGGTTTTGGGGTAGCGACGCTTTGGTGCCAGTTTAACAGTTGGCATGTGGCCTTCGGATTTCTGTTATTGGGATTGTCGATCAGGGGGTCCCGATGCAAGAACGCTCGAAGTGCCGAAATGCACCTGAAGCCGCAGGCGGCCTCTGGGGATCTCTAGAGGGCTCTATGATGTGCCTATGGTCTCCATTGTAGTTCCTCTTTTTGGTTTAACTAATATATATATATATATATATATATATATATATATATTAAGGATCCTAAAAGGCAACCCCCAAAGAGGAACTACAATAGAGACTATAGGTGGTATTGTTTTTCCAAGGTGGTGCAAAGTTTCGGAGTTTTGGGGCGGTGGCGGTGGAGTGCTCCAGGGATGTGCCCCTCCTGCGGCCTTCCAGGGACCTTCTTTGGTCTTGCAAATCTACGCCGGCAAACTGCCGGCAGAAATTATGAACAGGTATGTCTACATGACCATGAGGGATGCTTGATCTTATCCCTACCCAGAGGCTCCACAGTAGTTCCTTTTTGGGATTACCTTATAGGATTCTAGATATGAACCGCCAAAAGGAACTACTATGGAGCCTTAGGGTACTCAGTAACTTTAGGCAGGGGAAAAAGTAGACATGCTTCGGATCCTAGGCTGATCTTCCACGATGTTCCATGACCTACTTGTAATTTGGGAATTTCCGAAAATAGGGGACCCTAATATAGGACCCTAAATAGTAGGATCCTTATTATAAGGACCCCCAAATAAGGTACCCCCAATTTTCTGAAACTCCCATTTTGCAGCGAGCAACTGCCGCAGCAGGCGTTGTTAAGCGCGCCCAGGCTACTGTACGACTTGCATCAAAACGGAAACTCGAGCAAATACATAGCCAGAGGCCTTCTTCTCCTCATGGCTGTGCAGGCAGTTGCTGCAGTCTGTCTGCTGCAACTGCTCAGATGTACTCTTTCAAACGTCTCATTGTTCATCTATGGGAATTCATGCCTGGGGGGGCTTCTCACAAAATGTCACGGGAGCAGAAGAAAACAAATACACACGTTGCGCAAACCGCTACTGAGAACAGTGCTGTGACTACGTAGGATCGATGGTTCGTCAACCTCCCTTGGCATGCAAGGTAAGCCCGGAAATTCATGCAGGATCACTGGAGTTCACCATACAGCATTGGCAAAAGATGGCGGCACTCTTCTCAGCAGATGCACCTTACACACTTGCGAGCATATCATGCTGTTGGCATAGTATTGTATATCAACTATGGTAGGCTGGTATAAGACGACTTGTAAATCATGGAATGGCAAAGACTATGGAAACAGTGTATTACATGATGGTAAACTATTCGTAGTATTGGTTATAGAGCGTTAGCATATTCCAGGAGAGGAAAACCGGATGGTAAGGTACATCATGGCATTATCTAGGAGAAGATCACCGAGACGGTTCTGGGTTTGGGGCCTTAAGGTCAGGCGCCAAGGCGCAACTTGATCACAGGAATGAATGTGCAGGCACCCATTATTGTTGCGGGTATAAGGATTACAGGGTTAGGGCACCGGGTTTGCAAGGCAACTCACACTACAGGGCTTATAGATTATAGGGTTTCGGGTGCGAAACGGCAGCCCGTGCCTGTGGCCATACTGACCTGAAATCCGTTCTAGGTCCTGGCTCATGCATGTCCTAGTCGCTGCACAACATCCCAAAAATCCGCAGAGATAGTGCCCTTTCCACTCCCTCAGAAAGCCCTTTCAACCCCGCAAGCTCCTAAACCCTCAGCCGTTCAACCCAAGAACACCCAGCCATCAAACTCACAGCCCGTGCGCCGGCTGGTCGGATCTCCGATGACTCCGGAATGTCGGCACAGGGGCCCGGGGATTCGAAGAGGGAGCTCACCGCCTCCCCAGATCTGGTGATGCGCTTGTGGTTGAATCAACGAAACTTAGCATGGTGAATGCGCGTCTGCGTCTGCATGTATGTGTATATGCACACGCGCAGGTATCTAGGTCGGTCGGTCGGATTGGTAGATAGCTAGGACCAGGTAAGTAGGTAGGCAGGTAGGTGCGTATCTTTTTTATGTATGCTTGCGTGGACGTACGTTTTTTTTTTATGCATTTGTGTCTACGTCGTGTGTACGGATAAATACTCACAAGCACAACAACGAACGAATAAACACCACGTCAAAGGTCCGGGATCCTGGTTCAGGGCTAAGGACGTAGGCGAGGCTTACTTTGTCACTGGTGTAGACTAGGAGATCGCTGAGGCTACGGCTTAAGTGTGGATGCTTCCGGGTCCAAAATCATGTTGAATAGCCCTTACTGACTCTGGAACTGCGCGTCGGGGGCTTGGAACCGACCTGCTTGCTGCGCCTATATACAGGAGAAACAGATAGCACCCACATCGACAAATCAACGGCAGCAAAAGCACTAGTCTGAATCTAACGGCTATTGTGACAAGTATGCCAAGCATCCAAAACAATCTGCACCTCTAACCACTGAAACTCCACAAAACATTGAAGATGAGACACTTGCCGAACGAGAGCACGCAAGTTGCATCAACAAAGATTCATGCCCGACCGGTGCATAACGAACAGCATGGGCTAAGGGAGCCATTATATATATATATATATAACATAAAGTATATGTCTATGTGTATATGTATGTATACATATATATATACATAGATACATATCTGTGTCTGTCTCTGTGTGTATAGGTGCGTGCTTGTTGAAATAATGCGTATAACCATGCACGTGTTATGAGAATGCATACACAGGGAAATACGTAACTTAAAACCAACATCTGAATGTCTTGACAAAAAGAAAATATCACACAGGCCAGCAACAAAAATATGTACGCCGAAATGCAACAAGTAAGGCACGCCTGTAACCTGAAACCATGCACAATACAAACGGTGATGGAGTCCTGATTCTAGAACTTTTGCGCATTACAAAACCCTAGCAGGCCTTCTACAAGAACCCTTGAAGGGCTCCCTTTCCGGACCCTGAAGAGAGCCATGAGAGCCCCAAGAAGGTTTGGCCTGCACGGAGATTTCCTCTGGGATCTCCTCACAGGGCGCTTGACCGTGGCCTCCGGGAGCCGTGGCTGCTTTGTCCTGCACAGCGTTGATTGGTTTACAGCTTTTAGGGTTTAGGGCTTAGGGGTTTAGGGTTTATAGGGCTTTAGAGGTTTAGAGGTTTGGGGTTCAAGGGTTTCGGGTTGTCGGGTTTCGGGCTGTGATTGATTTACAGCTTTTAGGGTTTCAGCACTCACTCTCGGACAAACCGGGGCGAGGATTCCAGTCCCACGACAGCACTTTGGCATCTTACCCCAGCATATTCACCAGGTGTTCATTAACCTATCCTCATACAGCACTCCGAGTTCTACCCCAAGGTCGCGTAAGGCCAGACTCTGAGGCTGGGCTAACACATGACATCCACATCCGCATCACAGGCTGGGCCCTCCGATGCAGGCTTTTCGGGTTCATACAAGGGTTTAGCGGTTTGGGGTTCAAGGGTTTCGGGGTTTCGGGCTGGCGTGTTACGGTTCAAGGCTTCGTTTAATGGAATTGTCCGCAACAGCGTCGAGGTCTTGAGGGGTGTGTAGGGCCGTTGGCACTCGTCCAGGCAAGGCTTCAGAAGGCTTCCCGGCCTGACACTCAAACCTTACTGGTATCGGTTTTCTCGAGATTACAATTCAATGCATAGGCCAGGGCTACTTGTGATACAGACCTCACAGAAGCGCATGCTCCACACGCAAGACCCGAAGTCTTATCAGACGGATGCCAATTGGGACGATGGGGAGGGGAGGAGAATACGATTCTACAAAAGAGTGTGACCAGAGTTGATGATGGTGAAAGAATGTAAGTGAAATGAGAAGAATACCGAGAGCAAGTAGAAGAGCCATCTTAAAACTGCAAGATGACGTGAGCAGTGCCAAAGAACGACACAAATATCACTGCGTAAGCAGCAGTAAAACAAAGAGTGGTGGTCTACCAAAGCTAATAAGACTAGAACAACCGACATAGTGACATAGTAACAGAACCATAGTTAAATAAAGACAGGAAGACCAATGCTAGCGGCTCACTACCTAAGCCCCAAACCCAAAAACTTTTTGAACGAGGTCTCTCTGAAGTGCCTCCAAACCCTCAACCCTAAACCTCAAAACGTAACCCCAAACCCTAAGCCCACAAGGCCCCAAAGCAGCTTGTTCCTCGGAAGCCTCGGTGACCTTGGCACAGACCCATGGATCGCCGGGATCCAAAAGAGGGTTTAGGGTTTTAGGGTTTTTTTGCCGTCCTACATAGCATAGGTAGCCCCAAAATAACTTAAGGGGCTGAGAGTCTCGAATTTAGGGCCAGTTGCATTTGAAGAGGTCTTGCACTACCACAGCACCTACTGTAAATAACTTGCTGTGCACGACTCCGACCTGCTCTTTCGCGAGCCTCACAAATAGGGAAAACGCTTGCTAAATGACGAGATATACTGTGCTACATACTTGTATTTGCTTCCAGGCGGAAAGATCATCAGCATCTATGGCATCTATCGGTGCCAGGCAGCAGCACTGTGGGGATGCTTCCCGGGAGACTACCCTTGTGGTCCTGCCACTTGTACTTGACCGTGCAAAGCAGGGATCAAGCGTGCTAGCTTGGGACCGGTGACCGTCGGCTATGGACCGATGATTGGTTGGATATGTCACTACAAAAATGATCGAGAGCCGACGATGCCCAGCAACAGTTAAAAGGATCAACTGCAAAAACGCCCCAATAAGCCCAATGCCCCCGGGCAAGTTACTGTAGGAACCTGATTAAGAAACCTTAGGCCTTTATAAGGGATCCTTATATGAATCCTACTATTTGGGGGTTATAGGCCCAGGGTTTCTTAATCAGGTTCCCACATTAGCCAGGGCGCATAACCTGCGGAGGTCAGGTCAGTAGATTCATCTGACTCCACACTCGTGAGCTCCATCATGGCCGTCCGCTGGTTCTTGAGCCTAAGCCGTCTAAACCAGAAACCCTAAACCCTGGTTTGAGCAGGGATTGCACAGCACCAAGACCTGAATCCCTAAACCCCTAAACCCTAAGCCCCTAATTTTCGGACACGGTATCTGCAGAGTCTTGATCAATGCGACGCGCCTCAAGCTGGGGACCTTCCGGCCTAAATGCCAGGAGAACCCGCTCATGATTTCTAGATTCTAGACAGCCGTGAGCGGAAATGGTGTATCAATCCGTCTCTTCATGTAATGGAAGTAGTACAGTATTGGTATGTGGTCGCCATCGTCGTCGTACTGGTCGTCGCATTCGTCGTCGGCATAAGGAGTAGTTGAAGCGGCACTCGAGCAGCAGCAGCAGCAGCAGCGATCATACCCACAGCACCAGTAGCAGTAGCATTAGCAAGAGCCACCACCTGGCAGCCGGCAGAGTAGCATATCAGTTGCCGAGCCATATAAGAAGCGACTGCAACATAAAGCAATGGCCAGTTCTTGTGGTAGCCATCGACCTCTCAGCTCCACCTGCTTGGAGGATCATGGGACTTAGTAAGTAGGGTTATAAGTATCTTAATTGGGGCTATAAGCAATGGCCAGTTCTTGTGGTAGCCATCGACCTCTCAGCTCCACCTGCTTGGAGGATCATGGGACTTAGTAAGTAGGGTTATAAGTATCTTAATTGGGGCTATAAGTAGATATAACTATAGTTACCTTACTCATAACCCTACTTACTGAGTCCCATGATCCTCTAAGTGCACTCTAACGACCACGCAGTGCCTGCCGCCTCAGCGAGTGATGTGAAGCGGGGATGCTCTTGGTTTGTTTCGCAGACCTTTGCCTTCAAGAGCTTTCCCCGCGCAAGCTTAACACCCCCCTGTATTGCAACCTGGCGCAGACCTTTGGAATCCAAGCCGAGGCCAGTGCAGCGAAGGTGAATCTCGAGAACCAGGAACAATGCCCGATGATTTGCTGAGCGCTGAAAGGGAAGTGCCTTGTGCGCCAAACCCTCAACCGCGTCAGAGGCACGACCGCTTGGGTTGGACAGCCCCCTTGCTACTTTGGCAACCCATGGCACCTACGGAAGTGTTGCTCCTTTTGGGCCGCAAATGCTTGAGGTCTCAGGTTCGGCGAACTCATCGCATGGGGATTGACGGGCGTGTCCACGAGGTATGTCATAACCCTAAACCCTAAACTCAACCCTGAACTTTGAACCCTCTGCTACGAACCTTTTCTTGAGAAGGCATGGCTCGGTTGGGCCTGAGAGGTTCTGTCACCAAGGAGCCTCGGAACTAGTAGTGCAGCAGGTCTTAATGCTTGAAACCGGGCCTTATTACGATAAGGAGCGCTGCTGAGTGGTACTTTTCTAGTAGGTATTCATGCCCTTACAGTAATAAGCTTGCAGAGGCTTTGGGGCTTTAGCGGCTTTGCATCTTCAAGGGGTTTTGGGGGTTGATGTAAGGGGCTCACGGGCTTGGGCCGTGAAAGGCTTTGGTGGCAAGGTCCGTCTGAGTCTCGCTGCCATTTAGGCTCACATGGGTTTTTTTTAGGGTTCTTAAAAATTAGAACAGGGCTTGGGGGCCTATTCTTCTATACCCATAATGAACAAAGAAACATCAAAATGGCGTTGGTAATTGCTTAGGCCCCTACATATTAAATCTCTAAGCCGGGTGCTGAGGTGAAAGAACCTCGTGCAGGCTAACGTCTCGCGGCTCGAACCCTTTCCTGCTCCGTGGGATGGCATTGCCCGAACTTCTGAGAATGAGCACCAAAGCAAATGCGACAACGCACGATCTCTTGGAATTTTCATATGTGGAATTGACATCCCCGCATCCGAACAGAGACGCGAGTCCAAGGAACGGGTTCAGAGCGTAGCATGCATTAAAGAGGGGCATTGGCAGCGGCTATAAGGTGTTCTTCTCCACCTCTGAAGCAGGATCTTCGGGAAGCTAGGGAAAACGGTTTGACATCAACGATGGAACGATCAGGAACGATTACACGGCAGGACAGTCTATTGGGGTTAAGGTAGGATTATAGTACCCAAAAAAAGAACTCAACGGTTTCCTACTCTACTACTAGGGTTGTAATAAGGGACTCATCCTAAAGATCCCAAGAGACACCATGCACTCCGAGGGAGGATGGCATCGGGTCCCAGGAGGTGACTCCAGGATTCCGAATTCTTCAGAACAGGGAGCCTCCCTCCCATGAAAACGACAGGGAGAGTTCGCAGAAATAGGTCGAACTTCAGTAGGCTGCGCTTGAGAGTATTAGGATTGCTGGTATACTGCTAGAGTTAAGTGAGAGTTGCTAGTTAAATGACCTCTGCTGTGTGACGTTGCGATCACAGGGGCTTATGAGCCAAATAATCATGTTATGCGGCAGCCTTAGCATGTCGTATGGTGGCTATAAACTCCCAGAGGACTGAAGGCCTTGTGTCAGGTACGTTCAAGTACAGTCGGCACAGCACCGGCAAAAGCCAGACTGTGCGGCATTCATCGTCAGGATGCTGGAGGCATCCTGAACCATAGGTTCAGGCTGTTGATTTGTTTTGGAACTCTCACCGCGACAAGTCCAAGGGTTCGGTTGCGAGATTCGGGCTTCAACTCCTGTGTGAATGACTAGCCTACGAGAGCAGGCAGTGCGTAAAGCCAACAAAATACAACTCAGTCTATGCGTGTAACTGCCTCGTGAAGGCTATGGGATTTCAGGTTGCTGCTTCGCGGTTTAAGGGTTGCAGGTACAAGCACTCCCGAGCCAAGCAGGAAGACAACCTCTCAGGATTGCTCCCCGGCCTTTTGTCGGGATGTCAGTTGGCAGGTATGGCCACGGCCATAGGTAAAGTTAATGAGGGAAATAAGCAAAGCTCGCTCTTCAGATTTTTGTGTCCAGAAGTGGGTGTAGGGGCTCATGCACTGGATTGAAAGTCTGGGGCCAAACACGCTTCATGTCCCAAAATCACAACGAGGCCCTACGCGCAACGACCGAGCAGAATGGCTTCACACACTCACTTTCGGCAAGTTTCGGGTTTATGACACCCGCTTAAACGCCCCCACTCGGTTAAGGCTGCAAAGGCAACACGGTGCCATACGCCCCATGTGCCGCACCCTTTTTAGATTGAACCCTTCAGAGAACCTGGGTGCACTTAATACAGGAGCCTCAGTAATTACCTATACTATTTTGGGGGTTCCTTGTGATATTCATAGCTTAACGAGCACCAAAACCTATTCTAATTATTAAGGCCCCTATATTAAAGTACCCTTATAGATCCCGGGTAGTAGCCCCTATAGACCCGTATAGAGGAACCCTATTCCCAGAGACTCCAATATCCCTTAATTAGGGATATTGGAGTCTCTGGGTTCTAATTATGAAGGTCCTTATAATATGCAGCAGCGATCCTTCACTCGGATAGGGAGTGTTTCCGCCATGGTCGAGATGGGCGTGCCCACGCCGGGTATTCCTGGTTCAGGCTTTGTTACCCTAAGGCTCTAAGGACTCATATTTGAAGGCTTTTGGGCCTAAAGACCATATTATATCAGGCTTTTGGGCCATTTTGAGCCTTAGGGTTACATAAACACATACTAGGGTCCCCTATTTTCGGGATTAGGGGTTTAGGTTTTTGGGTTTCGCAAACACATGCACGTGCACATCCACATAGACATAGATATACAAATAGACATAGACACAGATATACACATAGCCATGGACATAGATATAGCCATAGAAATATACATAGCCATATACATATACCTTTCTGTGCATATGCATACACATATGCATACATAGGTATAAAGTATGTGTATCTATATAAATATATATGTGTATATACATATGTCACTAAATCATATTTCTATATCCACATGACGGCGTGCATCAACCATACCGGCATGCAATACTGCACTGTTGATACGCGGTGCGGTGGCGCAATGAAATGAGCAACGCATTGCAAGGGTATGTTCCGACAGCATAAAGTCTGTAGCACAGTTCAACATGTTTCTGTGCAAGTAGACTACAAGATCAAATGAAGCAGCACAAACTATCGTGGTTAAAACTGAATACCGTCCGAGAATACGGCAGTGGAAACAACGACATTCATTATTATTCGGACTGCGACCGCACAATGGCAACGGCTTGAAAGTGACACTTTTTTGCCACCCGCCCAGCTGAAACAAGTCGCACCGCAGGGAACTCGTCAGAACTCGTGAGATTGAAAGCTGAGATCCCAGGGAAAATACGCATACAACTTCGACACGCCCAGAAGCAAGTGACACTTGTAGTTTCTGTTCGTTGTCCGACATCGTCTAGTAGCTAGCACAGACCAGTAGAGTCTACAATGTAGTGAAAGAAGTGTAAAACAAGTGTAATTATGGCATAACACCGTGTAACTACTCCAAACCAGTGACAAGCTGAGCCAAAGCCAGCGAATAAAGTACCGTCTCTGCCGTTCGCTGCACAACCGCACTGAGCTGAAGAAAATGACCGGCGCTCGTTATCACAAGGCCTGCTCACGGCCAAGAAAAGGAAAGACAGACACGCTTGAGGACTCATATGCGCAACAGTGCAAGTGCATGTTTCGCTTCATGGCATTATAGCCGAACCAGACGCTTTCCTTCACGAGATCCAAAGACCGTCAGCCGCAACCCCCGAAGCCAATGCGAACATGGCTGGGCTAGCAACTTTAAACTTGACTGCCTTCGCAGCCCCCACGCAGCATGTACACTCTCTAAGTAACCACAACAGCCAAAACAAAAGGTGCTGGACCACCAAGCATCTTGATACATCTCCAGGTACGCGGATGATGAGGTCTTCCTCTGCGACCTTCGGCACCAATTCGACGTTTGGGATTCGGACTCCTTTATGTTCTTTGCGTTTGGATGGGTGACGGATTTAGGACCGTCGACTGCCCTCCCACCTTTGTTCAAGGCCAGGGTGTGGAGTTTAGCAACGAGTGTAGAACTGATCTCTAAGCCAAAGCACGCCCTGAAAGCTACACCGAACTACTCTGGGTTGTGAAACGCACGTCGTACTCAGCACGCCCTGAGACGCCAAAGCCCTAAATCCACAAGCCTGCAGCCCTCAGCTCCTTTTGAATGGCAACTTTCAGTGAGCGAGGTTCCTGAAGTTGGTGAGCATAGCAGATTAGGCTTTCGCCGATGTCGATGGGCGAAGGGCTCATCAGCGTGACTTGCCGACAACCATCACAAACTAGAGCCCGGGGAAAGGGGACAAATCGCAAACGTGATCATAGAGACTTGACAGTCTCCCTTAGTCTTATAAAAAAGCTATGCCTGGACCTTTACCCAGAGGGTCTACCTATACCTACACCTATGTCTATCTGTCTGGCGGTCTGCCTATCTACCAATATATCTATCTATCTACCCACCGCTACCTATTTATCTACCTTTCTACCGATGGATCTATCGATCTGCTCATCGATCTATCCATTCTGGTCCATTCTCACTATAACCCCCACACATAAACATCTACATGGGATAAACACTGCAAGCTTAACACCACATGGTGTGAGATGGCATTGTGACCGGAACCAATGTACAACTCCGGCTTCGTCGTTGCAAATATGGCTTTGAGAAATCTAGGGTTCATCAAACTGAACATATAACTGATGGATGCAATGTTCATGCCACGAACTTGTGCACCACATCCACGCATACACAGTTCCCTGGCAGTTGATTCAATTGGCTAAGGCCAAGCATGCTTCGAGAAAACCGCGAAATCTCGCAGTCGGTCGCGTTGCGGCATGCTGTTGTCCTTTGGAAGTATGTCATGTTCACCAGTCCAGCTCTGCTGACTGATTATTGCTTAAGGTGTGACCGCATAAACCCATGATATGATCCAGCTGCCTCCCTCAACCCTCAACCCTAAACGCGAGTCCAAACCCTTGCCCAAGATGCTCCCCGCAGAGGCCTGCTCGATGTGCTCGAAGTCCTGAGCAAATCGTGCCGCCAGACGGTGGTCCGACAAACTTTGGGACACCTCATGCTCTGGTGTCCTGAATGCAAGGTTTACTCCAAGTCTTTGGCTTTTCTTACATGGTTCTATCATAACCAACATGCGCAGAAACATGATGTGGCACGCACACTACATTCTTCTTTTGTTTTTCGAAGAACACTTAAAACTAGAAGGTGCTCATGTCCATGACTGCAGCGCAGTAACGCATTCTTCATGCTTCCTTGTGGGAAGGGGTGGGATTTCACCTTCGTGGGCCCGAAAGGGCAGCTCGGTAAACCCTACTTGGAGGTTCATGGGTAGTTATAACTAGGGTTATAAGTAGGGCAACTGGCAACTATGCTTATAACCCATATTAGGGGCCATATAGCCCCATTAATAACTACCCCTGAACCTCCAAGTAAACCCTCTAACCCATAAGCCCCTAAACCCTAAGTCCTAATAAGTCTTTTGCCCTAAACCCCAAAAAAGGTAGCTCGGTGGTTTTCTGGCCTCCGCCCCATCGCCAACATCGTCCGTGGATACATTGGACTCCACCTCATTTGGGAGTTTCTGAAAATAGGGGTACCTTATTTTGGGTCCTTATAGCAATAAGGGTCCTCCTATTTGGGGTACAAAATTATATGGTACTATATTAGGGTCCTCTATTTTCGGAAACTCCCATTTTCCGCCCCTAAACCATGTGAGCTTTGGTTCTACAGGACCTCACCACTCGGAGGCAGAGTAGGTAAGGTCTTCCTTTGCGAAAAGGAAGGGACTTCGTCAAACTAGGGCATGAAAAGGGGTGTCTCTTGTTTTATGTTTAGGAATCTTAGCATTTAGTGCCTATGCCTATGTTGGCGGCATGTATTTCCGAAACTCCCTACACCTTGACTCCAAACCCTTAGTTCTGTGTCCTTCGATGAAACTTTCGTGTCGTTTCAACGAACTTGTTTGCCATGAACAGCGTGATCCTGTGTCGGTCGTTGTCGTCGGAAAGCTGCTACCAATGTGCGTCCCTGGTGCAGTCAGAGGTTCCGGGGCTTTCATGACCTCCACGACTATAGGAACCTTTGTATCCTGGCTAGCCTCGCTCACACCCGGTGTTAATCAACTTCGTCATACTGGCTGAGGGCAAGGGAGCTCGAAACGGTTAAAGTTACTGTTTCCAGAGCAGCAGCTATGAGTGATTAGATTGCTGAACCCTTGTGCTCAACCCTATTTGCAGATGTGTCAACCCTAAGCCTTACAACCTTGAGCAATGAATCCTCTCCCAACTCCAAACCCTAAATCCTAAACCCCAAATCCTAAACTCTAAACCCTAAACCTCCAAGTCAAGCTTCAGTCGGCACCATGTCAATGGGAATGAAGGCCACCGCTTGCGCAGCTTTGTTCTGGCTGTGGGGCTTGGCCACTTTGCAGCCCATCTTGCTGGGAAAAAGCCGCGCACAAGAGGCTTCGATCGGGTTTATCAGGGCTTAGGGTACAAATTACAATCTACTGCTTGCTATTGCCTTGTCTTGCAACCGTTTCATCTGAATATTGCCACCATGCTTCTATATGATAGCAACCCGCACGCTGCAAGGGCATTGGTTAAGCCCATGTGAAAGGTGAGACTAAGAACCGTACTGGTCGCAGTCATAACTCTCTTGATGATGCATATCAGCGGTTCATTCGAAGCGCAGACTAAGACTGAATGCTCCAAGCCCGTGCGCAGCCTACTCGAGAACCCAGCAAGCTTGCACTGCAGCTCTTCCATGCAAGCTAGAAGCCATGACCACCAAAAAGAAGCTATAGACCAAAGTCTTTAAGTGATACTCGCAAGACTTTCGGCATGGTTGCTGCCCTGATCTAAAGCCCCAGCCAGATTCAGCTCAAACGATCGACTGCTTTCTCCGCTGTTCTGTCCCTGTTGGACAGTACCGTGCTTCACACTCCAGTGAGCCGCAAAATGGCCCTCGTTGTGGTGCCTTCAGCCTACATGCACATTAGCAAATCCGCTCGACGGGGCGACTCTCTTGTCGAGGCTTCCAGCACAATAGCCCATGAACAGCAGAATCGTTCCCACAGCACTGATGGCCATGCCACCAGGAACCTGGGCACCCGAGGGGTGTGGCAAAGCAGCATCGGACTCACAGCCGAACCAACTGTCTGCCGTTTTCTGCAGGCAAGACTCAAAGATAATCAAAGGTGCTTGCGGATGGTCCTTTCCCCAGTAATCGTACCTGTCCACGACCTTGGGATCTACATTGCAGGACAGACGGCGCATCATGTCAAGTCCTTGGCTATTTAAGGGGGGCTGTCAAGACAAGTCCCACGCCCACGTAGCTTGGCCAGAGGTCACCTTGTAAGTACCAAACTCCTGAGCGATGGTTCTTCATGCACCGTCAGAGTTTGGGGGCTCATTGGGTTTAGGGTTTCGGGATTTTTGCCGTATTGCTTTGTAGGGGGCTGCAGAACACCCCAAGCAGCATGGCAGAAAATCTGATAGCAATCATCAAGCGCCGCAGCTGACCGCACATAACGAAAAGCTTTGTCGAAATCAAAGCCAAGGTGCTCTGTTAATTTCGACATGTCCCGTGAGCTCCAACTGTGGTTTGGAAACGCTAACCACGCGGCACCAAAACGTGACGTTGCTTCCGCTTGGTGACGTGATGTGCATGGTCGGGCAATGCTCCGTGCCGTTGGTGCCCCACTCACGCAAGAAAGTGAAGCCAACGCGAGGTTGAACGGCCGTCTGGGTAGTTGTCAAAATTATGGTCCCTTTCTGGGTACCCTAAAGATTAGGTGCCGCATTATATTCAGGACCCAGAGAGGGACCATGATTTTGACAACCACCCACCTGGCAATCCCAGCTGGATAAAGAAAACTGTAATCAACACCAGACATGTCATCAGGCCGGCCGCCAGCAAGCAGCACCCGGCATAGCAGAGCCTCTTGGCGCAGGTAACCATGAGCAGGTAGCCATCTCAAGAGGCAAAGGACGGACAGAGCCCGGAGGGAGGGAGGGATTGGCAGGCAAGGCACACGCCTAGATGAATTGCCATGCGTGCTTGTCGATGAATGTCGATGCAGCGAGAACCAATACGTAAGAAGCAGTTTTGGCTTGAGGTCTAAGGGGAGGCAGGAAGGCTGCTTCTCAAGAACGCCACAGCATCTTGAGGCTACAACCTGACGGTTTGCAGGCTGGGCGAGATTTGGATTGTCGAAACTACCGTCTTCTTGGTCTGTTTGCCCGGCTTTCAAGTTTCAGCACATATGGTTAACTAAAACATAGCTAGAGTTCTGCGTCGCTTCGCAACCCGTCGATCCACAACCGCAGATTATGATCCCATAGGCGCGATTGGTGCTCGCTCCTCTGTCATACACAGGTCGGGTAAAACGAAAACGTACTCCAAAACCAAATCAAACTCGTGACTTCCTAACAATCGCCGGTTTCAGAACAATGCCTGGTGGCAAAGCCTGTTTTCCACCATGATGGCCATTATCCTTTGACGGTGCCTGCATGCAACAGCCTCAAGTTCTGGCAGTCCCCATGAAATGACAGCACTAAGGAAGGGGCCTGAATAATTTAGAATAGGGTTTTGGGGCACATCAACCTATAAATATAGTGAAGAAACACCAAAATAGTTTAGATAAATACTTAGGCCGCTTTAGTGTATGAACTCCTCCACGGCAGCTTCACGATCGAGGCTGAAATCGGCAAGCACAACTAGCATAAGATTTAAACTCTGCTTCACAATGCACTCAGTGCTTGCACCCAGGCGAAGTGCGGTACTCCTACCCAGGCTAGGCCCACTTTGGAGGCTGGGAACTGTCGACTATGCACTCACGGTGAATTCGAAACGAAGCCTGCAACCGTAGCTGCTGTAGCTCTGGTGAAGTTTTCTATCCCTTCCTAGGCAATCTCAGTCGTTTGCTTCCTTCGCCTTCTGCTAGATCGAGACGCAGCATGCGAACACCGAGGGTTGCTCCTCATGGGCGGTTTCCTGGTGAGCATCTTGCACAAACACGTCCGAGGACTCCGCCTTCACAGAGAGAGCAGTATGACAGAATACACTATGATAAGGTATGTGTGTATATATGTATATATACATACATAAATAATATACACATGTATATACAGGCAAAAGCAACTAGCCCCACGCTGCAGTACCATCCCTGCAGGGCCTGGATGCCTGGCACTCTCATTTCCATGTGGGGGCTTTCGACGTCTTCCATCTCTGAAGTCCCGGTGGATGTCGATGCTTTTGACTGCGAGGCAAGGTTGATAGGGCAAACTTTGGCATCAAGTTCAACCGATTTGCTGCCGCAGCACCCCATGGGAAAGCAGGCCCAACAAGGGGGCTACAGGTACTAAACACAGGCGTCTGAGACCTGCTGAGCCTAAACAAAGATGCCTCGGAGGCGCAAAACGAAGATGACGACAAAAGAAAAGGTGCTGCAGCTTATCCAACACTTTACCCATTCCTGGTTTCGGTCTCATTTCTGCATAGGTTGCAAATGATGTTGGCTAACCATCCCACAAAGGTCCTAAACGTCTAAACCAACGATGAACCTGATTCCGAAATCCCTTGCAGCTTGGCATACGATAAGCTCGCAAACTTCAACTTCGTGGGTGAGACATGAACACCGCCGTCGTGGCATACAGGCTCAGAGTGCTCCCGTACGCGGGAAGGCCGATCTGCGTCCCAGGGCACAGCGAGTCCCAGAAACCCATATAAATTCATATGAAACGACATAATGTAGGATAATACAACATATACGAATACAACTAATACACTATACTAACATAATATAATACCATATAATGAGATAAACTATAACAACATTTATAAAAGACCAGAGAACAGACTATACTATAATAAAACACTAAAATATTATAGGCAATATAGGGGTAGGCCCCGGACTACATGAAGCTTCATGACCAGGCTGCCTGTCTCCTGAGAGACATGAAGTCTCAGACTGCCGCATCAGTAGTACACAGGCTCAAGGGTCTGGGCTTCTTGCAGTGCCTCGGGTCACCAAGCTTTAATTGGGTTCAAGTACCCATAAAGCTGTAAAATGTTACCCAACTATGACAGAGTTAACGGCTGCGGACCCAGATATACGGCAAAGCTTGGACGCTGGTAGGAAACTACACCACGGATGCCTGCCGGCCTGCAGTAGGAGAAAGTAAGTAACTCCAAGTTGCAAAGTTGTCGAAGTAGGCCAGGTGCCATCCTCGGCGCTGCCCACCGGAGCAGAAACCAAACAGCTAATGCAGGAAGCCAACCAAGAATTTCCTGGTTCTGAACCCCGATTAGGGTTCAGGATGCGATGTTAAGAGCCCTCTTAAGAACAAGGCAATTCTCAAGTCAGATTCCGACACATTCATATTCGGCTTTAACGGGCTTGGGGACGGGAAACCACCAACCATCGTCTCCTCAGGGCACAGGGTACCCAAAGAGCCTAGTACTGTACCACCTGAATGGAAAACTTGTTACAGATTCCTTCGAGCTGGATCCTGAACACCCTGTAGAGTATATAGCCATACTTAGCCTTATGCAGCCTATAGATGTAGGGAGTTATGTCTAAAGTTTACCGATATCTGAGCACCCTGCCGGAAAGAAGCGCAGCTGCACCAATGGTGTGGTCAGAATCGATAGAGACAACCTTGAAGCCGAAACGTATGTAAGGGCTTGTTGTAAGGTAGAGATACTGGTTTTACGGAATATCCTACCAGAAACAAGGTCAACCTCACGCCAAGCTCTTCTGAGCTTCACGCCTCCTCAGTGTCGTCAACTCTCACCTGCTGTGCAGAACTCGGCATGCCGGGGTGGGTTTCAGCACTCACACTCAGACAAGCCTGGTCTTCTCGATTTGGGTTTCGGCGCTCACACAGGGTTTGGGGTTAAAAGGGTTGGAGAGGGAATGTCGCCTGCTTTGGGACGAGCAAAGTGTTGAATTTCGACGGAAGCCTGCCAATTAACGCAACTGTCGGGCTGTTCTGGTCATCCTACTTTACTTCCAACCTCTCTGCGAGAATGGCAAAGAAAGCTCGAACTCTTCCTCAACTCCGCAATTTAGCGGCATAGCTACACTGCGCCCGACGATTCAATTGCGGCCGAGTGTCTCGAATGCGTGTGCCGTGACAGGCGAGTCCTTGCGTGGCATTTTTTTCACCCTGGAGCAAAAGCTAAATCGGCCCTAGTTTGCCAGTCAATTGTCCGATTCCAACGCCTCAGATTCTAGGCGCTTCTCCAGGATCTGGCCCCACGGAGCACTCTGTCACACGGGAGTTTCCGAAAACTAGCGGTACCTTATCTTGGGATCCTTATACTAACGATCCTACCTTTGTAGAAGGTTACTATATTTGGGTCCCATATTTTGGGAAACTCCCACATCTACTACTGAGGCCGAGATCGGGCACCCAAGCCCAACTAAGACCCGAGACCCCCTTCAGGCTAGGCCACCCATAGAGTCCTTGTGGTCCTTAATTGGGGGTATTTGGGGTATATAGCACTGTAACAGAGAGTAGTGTCCTCATGGTCTTTAATAGTGGGTATTTGGGGTATATAGCACTATATTAGAGGGCACTGTCCTTGTGGTCCTCAATAGTGGGTATTTGGGGTATAATAGAGGGAAGTTGGGGGGTCCAGGGGTGAGCCATTGAGATCCAGTGGCTGAGGCGGTGCCAAACGCCGAGAGGCGCCGGCAAACTGCCGCTGGCCAGGATGGTGGCATTGGAGCCACCTGCCGGAGCAGATTTTGTACGCTCTTAAAGCTCATACAAGCTGTTGTATAGGGGCCTTAAGAATGAGAGTTGGTTTTGGGGCCCATAATACTATGAGTATAAAACGGAACCCGCCAAATAGCATAGTTTAGGCCCCTATGTTACATTCTTAAAGCTCATACAAGCTGTGATGATGGCACGCGCCTGTGTGGTTTAGGCCAGGTCTTCGAGGAAGCATTCGGACTACCTCGTCCCGGCGCCATGAGCACGCGTCGACATGGGCGTTCTCAAGTCGAAACGATGCTATACCATACCATGCCATCAGGATACCAAGCCTACGATACACAGGATGTGAGCATAACTGTGTACACACCAGAAAACCCATAACGCTCAAGCTCGGCGTCTTACATTCTTACATACACCGTCTCTGACTCAAATCTCAAGACACCGAATCCGACAACACGGTGCCAATCCTCCTAAACCCCAATCACCCCGAACCGTAAACCCCAAAAGGCCCTACATCCTGAACCTAAATGCCCGTTTTTTGCTGCTGGACTCAAGTCTAGCCAGTCTACGACCCACAGTCATCTTCACCTAAATACCTAAACCCTGAACCCGACCTAGACCCCCAACTACCCTCTCAGATACCCCAAATCCCCTCTATTCAGGGCCACAAGGCCTCCATTAAAGGGGCCCTTGGGGGGTCCTGCTTGGAGGATCATGGGACTTAGTAAGTAGGGTTATAAGTACCTTCGTTGGGGTTATAAGTAGATATAACTACAGCTACCTTACTTATAACCCTACTTACTACGTCGCATGGTCCTATAAGTACCAGGTCCAAGTATCATTATGGTATATACCTATCCCCCCAAAATACCCTATAAGTATGTACCATAATGATACTTGGACCCTTGGGTACCGAAGTTCTAAGCCAGGAAGAGCTGCTA